GGGGGATAGAGAATCTTTTTCACTACCCTTCTGCTTAAAGTAGCTAAAACCTCTGAAACAGAGTTGAGATTTTATGTAACTACCTCTTTGTGATATAATTCTTCTGTTTCATGAAGGACTTTGGTGCTTGTTTAACTCTCTGATTTATAATCCAACATTATTTTATAGCAACAAAGGTTATTAAACTTTCCATGTGTTTAAGAGAATGTTTCCCAGAAGAAAATGGCTAGGGATCAGGTGAATACAAAACATAGGAATGGGGGCAAGAAGCTTCATTACTTGTTTGGGACTCTTTTTTATTGACTTTTCCTTCTTTTCTTTCAAATACATTTTTGTATAGGGTTCATGTAGCAAAACAGCAAAAGAAAGAGAGAAGGGATCTAGCACATGAGATTGTTTTTTTTTTTAAAAAAAAGTGATATATATCAACTGAAAATACATCACAAACAAACAATCAATATAGAGCATGCCAGAAAGAACCAATCGCCACTGCTAACAGTAAGTAAGAAAGATGATGAAGAAGGGGGAAGTTGATAGTAAGAAGTTATGGGGCACCCCATTGGCTCTGAGTTGTCTTTTTTTTAAAAAAGTTCCCAATTTCAGTGAGATTGTCATTACTTGATACATGCAAATTAATGTCATCATCTCTTTCCAATCAACCAACAGGAGGGCATTTTAGAAAAAGGCTAGGTGTTAGGTGAGTTTTGAATGGAAGCTCCACCAGTAGAGTGTTTCCCATAATTTGAAGCACTGTCCCTGATCACACAAGAATCAAATCTAGTAGTCAATTGTATGGACAGTTCACAACGTTAGGAGATACGATCCCATAAGCAATACATTTTGTATGTTTATGCAACACCACACTCATTTGGAGGCACATCTTAGCCAGCAATGCCGTTCTTCTGGCATATCTGAAATTGACTGGCAGAAATCTTTTTCTGCTGACAGGAGGACACTTCTTTCTGCAGAAAAAGCTTGTGCTTAATCTTTAACCTCTACACTTTGCACATCTTTGCAAAGTCAGACAAACCTTGCCCAGAATGTCTCTGAATTTCTGACCAGTATATACTAAAATAGTATTTAGTATCCATGGTAATCCTGGTAACCCAATTTTACTCTCCTATTCCTTTTCTACAGCTTTATAAATAGAGGATTAAAACCTGCAGTAGAAAATCCCCAGAAGACTTGACATCTAATGGCATTTTAAACACTTGTCTTTTTCAGGAAAGACTCACTCTATCGTTTCCTAACATGAAACAGGATAATCTTGACGGCTCAGTGCTTGTAGAAAACTCAAGCATTCTTCATTATTTCATTCATCCTTGTTGTAGAAAAGAGTGAACTAATTATCATTAAAAGTGAGCAATGACTAGGAGGCAAGAAGAAGGGAGACAGAAACACATGCTTTCTAGGAAAACACTATCAATTCTACACCTACTGCATGGCTAGGATATAAAATATTTGTGTTTGTGTGTGTGTGTAATACATAGAGAGTAATTCCCAAAATTGCCATTGATCTCAGATGTAATAGAATCTGTTTCTCCTCCTTTCTCACAATTACTAATTTAAATATCAGTTCCATTCGTTTCCCATCTGTTTCTACATTCACTTCTACCTGTGGTTCTCAACCTTTGGCCTTCCAAGTGTTTTGAACTTCAACTCCCAGAAGTCCCAGCCATTTTACTAGATGCTAGGAATTGTGGGAGTCAAAGTCCAAAACACCTGGATGACAAATGTTTGAGAACCATTGACTTCTACAACCACAATGTAAATTATAGGGGTGATGCAGAAACATGATATATATATTCAATTTTATCATATTTATTTACTGTATTGTTATAAGTGTTTTACTTAACATTATATAGAGCATAATCAAGTTTTATTACACCTAAGAGCTAATCAATAAAATTTATTACTACTTCAACCACAACCTTTTTTCTTTGTCCAGGCCAGTGCTAGACAGGACTTGGCTCCATCTAGAAACTTTCTGGGCTCATCTGCAGGCAAAGGCAAATGCAACTGCTGCCCACTGTAGGATCCAACAGTTTGAGCTTACCTATTTGATCCTCCACAATGGCTGTCATACCTACTTATCTACTTGTGCCAAAGTAATTTGACAGCTGGAAAGACCCAGATCTTTCAGAAGACCCTGTTTTTCCAGATGTGTGGATTGGGCCCAGGGATTGTTGTGTGACTTCCAGTCCCAATCCATACAACTGTCCTTGAATTTTTGGGCTCCTGGAGCCTGAAAAATTCAAGACACCCCCCCCCCTTCCACCCACCCCTTGAAAAGCCTTAAAAAGAAAAAAATACTTAGCCAATTGCCATGTTTCTACTGCCGGCCTTCTCCTGGCACGTAGAAATGACAGGCCAGGAGAGGGCTGGCAGCAGGGAAATGCCAACTGGTTAAGTATTTTTTTTTCTTTTTAAGGCTTTGGGGGAGGGGGGTTGTTGGCATGTGGGTGGATACCCCTAGGGAAAGTGCAGGGTTTTTTTTTACTGGTGTGGGGACAGAAGTCCGGTCTGACCTGGGTTTTTAAAACCCGGATCAGACTGGACTTTTCCCGGGTCTAGGAACTGCCCCGAGAGGGCCTATCTCACAATATCTCCATGGCAACATGACTCTCTTGGTGGCACTTTCCTTCCTCCCTTCACCTCACACTAATGTTTCCTTTCTTTCCCAGTGACATCACAGAGGCCCTAGCAACAGCCACTCTTTCAGCTAGCAACATTCAATTCAATGACATCACAAAGGGCCACTAGATTATCACCTAGCAACAGCCATTGTGGTACAGACAGACAGATGGACAGACATACTTTGACTTTTATAGAGCGAGAGGTAAATGTAAATATAAATGTGAAAACTAATTTTCCCCACTTTTAATGCAAATCTAATTGAATTAGATTTTTTAGGTTATTAATTATTAATTGAACACACACATTTGTATTAACTTCCCTGCCTCTGTTAATTTTAATAGATAAATTGAACTTTTGAGAATAGTGAACCTTGATATTGCTTACTCATAATTAATTAGTAATAAAAACTACTATCTGTCTAAGAGTAGAACAGTGGTTCTCAACCTTTTTTGACCAGGGACCACTTTGACCAGGGTCCATTCTCCAGCATTAGTACCAAAAAGGTTACTAAGTTTTTGGTCAACTTTAGATTCAGTTTGGTTATTTGGGGTGCTGATTCAAAAAATTGTATTGGATAAATCACATCAGCTGTAGTTTCTTATAAAGAACATATGCCATTCAGTAGTTGACATCTGTTTGCCCACAGAAAATCATATTTAAGAAGCCTCAACACTATGAGAGGATTTTGCAAGACCAATTGCTCTTGTTGCAATGGTGTTGTAACAGTGCGGCCCTGGACCATATTTTACACCTCCCTGAGTCGCCTTCAGGCTGAAAAGAGTGGGATAAAAATGCTGTAAATAAATAAATACTAAATTAGTTCTTGTGGACCATTGGTGGTCCACGGACCTCAGGTTGAGAACCACTGGACTGGAAGGAAGGTTAAGTTTCACTAAAGTGAAACTTAACTTCCAAATCTACAATGCTCTCTTTTTTCACTGTAAGTGAATATTTAAGCCTCATTGCTTACTATCATTCAGTTTATATTAGTATGTGAGGTTTTTTTTTTCATATTTCTTAATGCTTAACATCCAACTATTTTGTTTTTCACATTTGTATCCCATCCCATCCATATTATGGACCAAGATATGATGCTTAGAAACATGTCATTTTATTATCACAAAACCTTGAATTGCCCAAGATAACAAGTCAGCTTTATGGCAGAGCAGGAGCTTCAACTCATGTCTAATTCTAGATATTCCAGTATTTTAAATCCAACATTTAATACACGTTTCCTTCATGTGTGATTCTATATGGATTTCAAATGTGTGACATAAGAAATAAGGATGATTATTTTAATCATAACTTATTGTCATCTTAATACTCTTTCTTCCATCTTATGCGAATGAAATGGCTGAAGTGTACCTCAGGCGAAAAGCATGTGCATATACCTATCAATGTCAGATGTTTATTAGATTATTTTAAAAAACCCACTGGACCAACATCCCCAGAAGCAAGTATAGACTCTGCTTTCATTTAATTAATTCAGTGTCTGTAGTTTAACAAGACGAGTCTTTGATTATGTCCAACATTAGCAATGTTCCTATTCCTAATCACATTTGTTTGAACTAAACTCAACTGATTTTAAGCCCATTTCTAAACAATGATGAAAACATTTGCTATCTCATACTAATGCTGAAAAATCATGCAAAGCAGTAACATACACAGCAGCATTCAGTGATTTATTAAGGTAGCCTACAGTATTTTATTAATGAATATTAAAAGCACTAATATTATTCCTACTACCTGTTTTCAATTATTATAGACATTGGATTCCAGAGCCAAATATTTTTAAAGGCTACAATAGTCAGAAAGAACAGCAAAGAGTATCAGAATCCCATGAAATTTAAAAAATGTATTCATTCTAAATATAGCAACATATACGTCTTCTTTTCACAGTTGCTATTTAATTTCGTAGCTCTAAATTTGTCTGCAAAGAGTATCTTGTTCCCAGTAATACAACAGAAAAAAGCAGGGAGGAAATATTTTTGGAAAGTTCAGTTTCTTAAAACAAACTTGGCAGCTTTAATACAAACAAATGCATACATACATATAAATGGTGAAGAACTTTAATCCCAACTTGAAATTATAAGGGTATTTATCTAGATTGCAAAATGGCATTCGGCATCACGTTTTTTCTCCAAATATTTCTCACCAGAAACTAAAAAACTGAAAAAAAAATCATTTTTAAAAAAATTGGTATTTCTAGTGTATTAACATATGAGTTGTAAGTATAAATAGCAGAGACATCTATGTGCCAGTTATTCTGCTATTTTCCTAACTTGGAAGCCCTTGAGCCTTTACAGTAAACATTTCACCTCCCTAAGCACTTACAATATCTTGTGAACATGGAAGCATCTTACCTTGCTTCCATTTTCTTTTGCCTCTTGCTCCATCTTAAGATCAGATACTAGGATGTTCTTGTACGTGTTCTTTCCATCACTGCTTTGGTCATCTAACCTGTATTCTGAAGTCAGCTGAGTAGAGAAGGGGCTGTCACTCAAGTTCAGAGGCTGGTCGTCCGGTTCCAGAGTTGTTTTTCCATTACTGTTGGCTTCTGCCATTTCCCTGCAGTGTGTTCCCCCTGAAGCACTGGAACTGTGTCCCGCAATCTCATTTCCGTTAACACTCTCTGCAGCCGAATCATCTATGAAACACAAGGATTGACAGATTTTCAAAGGTGTGACATCAACATCATCACTGCCTAAACAAAATACATACATACACACCACTACAGATCCAGTTTTGACTCACACAATATATCCAACCATGCAGCTGAAAGTGTCTATGTGATTGCTAGCCCTCTAATATTTGTCACATTAAGAACACTAAGTGAAACATCCACCAGAGGACAATGATTGATGACCTAGGCAGCGAGGAAAGGAATAATTCATCTTTCCAATTTGCATGTGACATCATGGCTCACTTGCTTAAAACATATCAAGCAAAGGACTTTTAACATGTTTCTATAAATTATAAAACACTACGACAGAGCATAAAACATGTAGAGTTGGATCCAAATTCTCCCTTCTTCTGATAAAAGGAGACTTTCTTCTGATAAAAGAATTCCTTCCATTTAGAAGAAAGAATAGAACGCGTATTGCTATATGCATTAGTGGAGCTGAACTTTTCAGAACATGATTTCTTCACATTGAAACACAGGTAGTTCCATGTGTTATCTAGGTGTAGGTGACTCTAGAATATATATTTTTTTATTTTACCATCTATGCTATTAGGTGTGATGAATTCTATATATCTATATATCTATATCTATAGAGAGAGAGAGCCTCTGCTATCCTTTTTTGTATATAAAATCAAAAGCTGTGGTGTATCCTATATTTTCTATCATGTGCAACTTATGTATTGGAAACACACTTCAGTAAGGCTTTAAATATGCTTTCTCCATATAAACATGAAAGAATGGCATAAAGAATAGCATGGCAATTTATTCTCTAGATGTTACCTGGGTAACTAATTCCCACACATTTTAGTATGTTTCATCTTGGGACAATATATTTTATGGTGGAAAACAACTTTTCAAAGATCTGCTTTTTCTCAGATTTCCAAAATCCCCAACTCACAAGAAGGTTTCTCTGAAATAATTCAATTGATTATAAGCCACTTTTCAGCACTGGTTCTTTTTTGTAAATATAGTCAGTGCCTGTACAACTTTCCTGAAAATTTTCTTCCTATTTTGTTTCCCCTTTTTTCCCTGACCTGGATGTAAATTAGCTTATTAAAATTAAAAGACAAATATGTACTGGTGAAAATATTGAAAGGATTAAAAGCAATTTAAGAATATATTCATTTAAAAGAAATAGTATGGACAAAATAACACATTATTTAAAATGGCATCCATATATAGTCATTTCCCAAAGATTTGTTGAAACAGTCTTCCTATTGCCAAAAAGACATTATGGAAGAATCCTGAAAGTAACAGATGTTCCAGAGTTTAGGAGCAGCCCCAAGAAATCCATAACCCCGTTCAGCAGCTAATTCTATTACCTTTTAGCAATACTTTGATCTTACATTTATTTGTTTGTTTGTTTATTTATTTATTTATTTAACTTGTATACCGCTACTCCTAATTTGGCTCGGAGCGGTTTACAGAAGCAGATTAAAACAATACAATTAGCTTTAAAATAACAATAAGCAGCGAGGATGGACATAGCCCCAAGTTGTTCACCCATCAAAAGCTTGTCGGAAAAGAAAAGTTTTACAGGCTTTCCGAAAAACAAGTAGGTCTTGGATGGTTCGAGTTTCAACCGGCAAGGCATTCCATAAATATGGGGCTACAATCGAGACGGCTCTCAGCCTAGTAGATGACAAATGATAAGTCCGAATGGTAGGGACTTCAAGCAAATTTTGGTCTTCAGACTGGAGTAATCTCTGGGGTTCGTAGGGGGATAAGCGGGCCCTTAGGTACACCGGCCCCAGACCATATAAGGCCTTAAAGATTAATACCAACACCTTAAAAGTAATCCGGTACTCAATTGGTAGCCAGTGCAGCTGTTGGAGAATTGGGGTGATACGACACCTCGCCGGCACCCCGGCAAGAAGACAAGCTGCCGCATTTTGCACCAGCTTCAGTTTCCGGATCACTGACAAAGGAAGGCCAATGTAGAGGGCGTTACAGTAGTCAAGCCTCGAGATGACCATCACCTGGATTACTGTAGCCAGGTCGTTCCTAGATAGGTAGGGAATCAGTCGCCTAGACTGATTTAGATGGAAAACGCACATCTGCTCACAGCAGAGACCTGGGCCTCCATTGTGAGCAGAGGGTCCAATAAGATACCAAGACTTTTTACAGAAGATGACGGATGTAGTGTCTTGCCATCCAGGGTAGGCAGCTGGATCTCCCTCCCACCTGGATGGCCCAGCCAAAGGATCTCTGTCTTCGTTGGATTCACCCTCAACCTGCTGGCACGCAACCATCCAGTAACAGCCTCAAGGCACTGATGGAAATTTTCAGGTACGGAGTCCGGCCGGCCTTCCATCCTCAGAATGAGCTGAGTGTCATCAGCGTACTGGTAGCACTCAAGCACAAAGCTTCTCACCAGTCGGGCAAGTGGTCGCATATAGATGTTAAATAACAGAGGAGAGAGGATAGCTCCCTGCAGGACCCCGCATATTAACGGAGACCTCTCGGAAACCATCCCTCCACTCACCACACGCTGTCCCCGATTCTGGAGGAAGCAGGACACCCACTTAAGGGGTATCCCCCTAACCCAAGTCATGGCTAGGCAGTGGTCAGTAGATTGTGATCAACCGTATCAAATGCTGCAGTGAGGTCCAATAACACTAGCAGTGCTGATCCGCCTTGATCCATCTGGCAGTGAAACTGATCTGTGATGGCAACTAGCACAGTCTCCGTCCTGTGCCCACTATGAAAGCCGGACTGAAAGGGATCAAGTCCGGCTGTGTCATTTAGGAACTGCTGCAACTGTTCCGCTGCTGCCCTCTCAACCACCTTGCCCAGAAACGGAAGGTTCGAGACTGGGCGGTAGCTAGAGGGAACCGAACCATCTAAGTCTGGTTTCTTCAGCAGCAGAGATACCATCGCCTCTTTTAAACCCTCTGGAAAAACTCCTTGCTCAAGGGAGCTATTTCTTATATTCAACAGAGGTTCACGTAATCCCTCCAGGCAAGATTTTACTAGCCAGGAGGGACACGGATCGAGGGAGCAGGTGGTCGGCCTAGTTGCGGTCATGATCCTATCAACAGCCTCTGCATCCAGCGGGGTAAACTGGTCGAGGATGGGCCCAGCGAGTGGCCACAGAGTCTCAAGTTCACTTACTGTATCAATCGTGGCAGGGAGATCCCGGCAGAGAATTGTCTGTGAAATATCTCTGAAAAACCTCAGCAGAAGGTGCCAGATCATTATTGTTTGGGACGGAAGGGATTGTTGTCAGAGATCTAATAATCTTAAATAGTTGTGCTGGGTGTGAGCTCGCAGACATGAGCTCACAAACATGAGAGTTTACACATAACCAGTTTTGGTATATACACTTAGAATGCATCTACACTGACCTAATAAACCAAACCTGATCCACTGTAGCATACATTAGATCAGTAATGGTATAGGTCACAATGGCACTGTCCCAGATGCAGTGGAAGCAGGAGAGAGTCTCAACTGCCCAGAAGTCTTAAACACGGTTCAGCACTGCTGGACAATCACCCTTATAACCCCTCACCATCCACCATGTTGTGATGTAGTTCCTAACATCACCTGGTCATGGGGAGATAAAGTGATGAGGGAGCAGTAGGGGAAAATGAAGAATTCCCCCTCCTCTGGAGGGAAGCCAGCCGGCAATACTTCCCCCCTATGGGATAAGGTAAGAGGTAATGTGAGGAGTGGGACAAACGGTTCCCCATGCCAGGCCCCACCAATTTGCCACAATCCATGGCAAATCCTCCCCTCAATGTGATGAGGTCCTAAATATGTCAATTTGAAACATGAGTAAGAGAAATAAAGGATATTTAAATTAGGTTAAGGAATTTCTTAGGTATATAGAATGTTAATTTTTAAAACTTTGAATAAAAATGCCAAACTCAGCTTTTTGAATGAGGGGGGGCTCAACCATTCTGAAAAACAACAGCTGTTTCTACAGTGAACAAATGTTACAAAGACATCAGTTAGGCCTGGGTAACAACGGAAAAATTTGTTTCTAAAATCGATTCGTTTTTTGGGGGTTTTTGCGTTTCGATTTTTAAAAGAATTCCAAAATTTTTCTTTTAAAAAGTTCAATATTTACAAAATTTCGTAAATGTTTAAAAAAATACAAAACAATAACGAAACAATTACGAAACAATAATGAATCGATTCGTTAATGGTGGACGCGACCGTGAAATACGCTAAAAAACCTCCAAATGGGACAGGGGGAACTTCTGAAGCTTCCCTCTCCCTCTGTTGTTGACTGTTGGTGTGATATTATAATTTTTTTCACTAATTAAACAAAAAACAACTATAAAACTTGCCCCAGCCATGCGGAAATAATAACGAAACGACTTCAAAACGATAACGAAATGAATACATAACGAATCCGAAACAATTACGAAATGAATTTAAAAATTCATTTCGTTTTTAAGTTGCTCCAGAATGGTTTGTTATCACTTCGTTATAAAAAAAAATGAATTTTTAACAAATTACGAATTAACGAAACGAAACCGCCCAGCCCTAACATCAGTGAAATAGGCAGATACGATATTTATAGTAAATTAATAACCACAAGAAAAAACATCAAAGAAAATATGACAGGTTGGGAGCATCCTGATTGATTCTAGGACTGATTTTTTTCTCATTTGGGTCAATGCTGTAGCCTTACCTATGGATTGATGGTCTACATTGGCCATCTACTTTAGCAAGAGTCAAGAAGTGGGGAAAAAGTTGATTGATTTCAGACTTTTCTAGAAACCTTCTGATTCCCAGAATACTTAATCTGTTTCTGGGAATATCTGAAAGGTCAAACACACATAAAACTATGAACAATTAATAATTTGCTTTTCTTCCTGTCTCTAATATAATGGAGAGACATAGTATAATAAATCATTTAAAAAACTATTCAAAAAAGTATTTCTATATTGCTACTTTCCCCCCTTTATGAACTAAGATCACAAATCATACTGAAATAATGTCCAAATTTGTGT